AAATATTGAAATTTCAAGCATATCTGAAATTTACCGTTATATGAAAAGCGGCCTCAATTTTAGTCCGATTTCAACAATTTTCAACGGTTTGCTTTTATGTGGCAAGCACAATAACCATACCGAGCTTGGTACAAATTGCTAGAACGGTTAGCGAGATACATATATGTGATCACAAGTGGGCGGTGCTACGCCCATTTTCCAAAATTTTGTCATAAACGTATTTCTTGGTAAAGAATTGTTGCAACCATCAATTTTGAATAAATTAGCTTCAATATTTACTGATTTATCGAAGATTTTGTATTTCTCGAAATTACCGTTATATGGGATGTGGGCGTGGTTATTGTCCGATTTTAGAAATTTTCGGCCATTTGGTATGCTGTACCAGGACCAACAACTGTGCCAAGTTTGGAAGAAATTGGTGTAGCGGTTACCAAGATATACACATGTAACCATAAGTGGGCGTGGCTACGCCCATTTTCCAAAAATTTATAATATTCATGTTTTCCGTCTGAAACTCATTGTAAGTATCAATTTTGAGTGAATTATCTTCAGTAGTTACTAAAATATCGCAGTTTTCGTATTTCTGAAAATTACCGTTATATGGGAGGTAGGCGTGGTTATTGTCCGATTTCGCCCATTTTCAATACCATCCGTCCTACGCCCAAAAGAAGTTCACGTACCAAGTTTCGTTAAGATATCTCAATTTTTACTCGAGTTATCGTGTGCACAGACGGACGGACGGACGGACGGACGGACGGACAGACAGTCACCGCTTAATCGATTTCTCTTTTCATTCTGATCATTTATGTATACATTTGTCTATATCTATCTCGATTCGTTTTGCCTGTTACAAACAACCGTTATGTGAACAAAGTTATAATACCCTTGTGCACAAGTGCGCTCGGGTATAAATACTGGTTTTACTTTCTTAAACATTATAATATTTTTATGTAGAGGCACTTGACAGATTCGCAGCTTCATCGATGTTTGTTTCCTTGACGACTATAAATTAAAGGAAAATTTAAGGCGTCTGAAAAGCAAGTTTCAGTGACAAATAATACATGTACTTACTTTTAATTTCATTAAGAAGTACTCCTGGCTTAGGCTTGCCGTTGATAGGTAACTGATGAAATTGCCTATTTATCAAGTCCCACATTGCAACGCAAGGCGCAGCAAAGGCGATGTTAAGAACATTGTATGCTTGAAAGCATAGTACATCCACAGCTTTAATATTTAATTTTGTATTGTTTTTTTTTTTATCCAGCAAATCCCTTTTTAAAACGTTTAAAATTATATTATATGGCTCACAGCAGCCAACAAGTAATTCCGCAATGACAAGCGATACATAAAAATATGATGAAATGTTAAACTGCCGGTAATTGAGTATATTGTACGAAAATATTCGTATGTTGTACGAATTTAAAAAACATGTTTCTGCATTAATACTTTATACGAAAGTATTAACTAAATTGTACGAATACAGAATTGTAGATTTCGTAAATTTTAAAACCATACATAAATATTACGAATGCCTTCCTACAATATACAAAATTATTCGTACAGAAATTTGTTCAGTGCTTTACGAATGTGTTTCGTAAAATAAACGTAAGATTTCGTAAATTGTACTGAAAAAATGCCTTACGAAAGTCCTTTCGTTATATTTACGTATGGTTCGTAAAATCTTGTTTCGTTGTGAAAAATGTGATCGTATTATGAACGAAAGTTTCGTACATTGTACAAAAATCAAGACTACGGAAGTTTGTCGTAGCACTTTTACGAAATTTTATTTTCAGTGTACTCATTTACTTTTTATCGTCAATAAAAAAATATTGAAAAAATATGGAATTGAAAAAAGGTGTAAAAATCAGTGTTAGCTGTTTTATAAAGGCTATAGGTGACCTGAGGGTTAACGTGTAGGAATGGTATTTTCAGGGATTGAAGTCCGAAGTCCAATGATTAATTTAAGCCTAACAGGTCTATTCTGCACGTTACCAAAGCTTTAGTAACCGGAAAATTTGATTACCAAAAAATGTTACCAGTTCTTGTCACCGCGATTCTAGTTCCGTTGGTAATGCAGTTAAAATATTCNAGGACTTTGTAATTTCAAAGATATTATTAATTCCAAAAATTGTTAAAAAATTCAATGCAATCTAGAAAAAAATGTGGGTAACAAATGCAATAGGAAATTTCTTTACAATTTAAAAAATTANTTCCGTTGGTAATGCAGTTAAAATATTCATGAAGAATTGTGGAAATTCTGGCATTGCATATTTCACGGGGCAATAATTTGTTACCAGCTTATGAGATGGTAACAAAATTTACCGCTTACAAGAGTACATAGAATTCGAAAAGGGTTTAAAATTTGGCAGGAACTTAATTTACCGGTTACAAAACNGGATTCACAAGGACGAATAGGTAATTTTTAAGCTGACAAAGTTAGAAGAACAAAACTCGAGGATGCTATCGAGTTTATATAAGCCCTTAACATATAATTTGTTCAAAAACAAATGAATGGTCGCCGCGAATAACGTTGTAGGCGACATAATTANAAAATCAGTTATTCCTGTTCAACAAATTACTATAAGTGACCATCAAGCAAGGGTGCATGAATATGCAAGGATAGTATTTGAGAGTTCTAGCTTTAATTTAGGTCTAAGTGAAAGGTATTACCTTTTGTTTCTTTGCTAGAGCTTCTCAAGTATTGAAAAAAGNAACGTTTTTGACGACGCACATAAAGTCATTTGATTTAGTTTTCCATTTTCCGGTGCAGCAGTCTCCAAGAAACTTGCCCGTGAATTAAAATTTATATCCATATATATCTTTCAAGTCAAAAAAAGATTTATAAAATTTTAATGATGGAAAAAACGTTTTATATCCAAAACCCAATGGATNGACACTTTGACCTCGTTTTTCTTAAAATCTGGAGCTGATGGAAACCTTGTACTTACGGATTCATTATCAGCACACAAAAATTCGGCAAAAATAGCGTTCACATTTGCTGCATCAAATTGTTTTCCATTTTTGTTGGCCTGTGTAATAAGTATTGTTAAATAGTCAATACGCGGATGTTTGCGCCGCCTTCAAACACCTTTCGAACTGTAAAACAATGGCTCAATTCTATTCTACCCATGTCTATAATACGGGTATCGAATTTCAAGCAAATCGAACCATAAATAAGATTTTTTGGAATAGATCGGTATCTGGGCCACCTATCAGAAAAATATCCTATATGTTAACCCAGCCAATAAGCTACCTACGTGCCAAATTTCAAGAAAATTGGACCATAAAGCAGCCTTTTTCGAATAGATCGGTTCCTGGCCCACATAACGGAATCCTAATCTAGGCAAAAGGCTACCAACGTACCAAATGCATTTTTTAACGTAGCTCGACCCCTGCGCCACCTATCGGAAAAAGTAAAACTTTGTTGCCCATTGATTCATGCTCCCAATGAATTTCACAATTATCCGAAACTTTCCAAGATTTCGTCGAAAAAAATTAAAAATTTTTGCGTTCATATGGAATTTTTCAGAGTTTTCCACTTAAAATTTTCTATTTTTCATTCGAATGCCATTCCGAAGGAATTGCACACAAAATTCCATACATAAAAATAAATTTTAAATTTTTCCAATTTTCCGACATTCCCGGAGAGTNAACGTTGTAGGCGACATAATTATAAGTTTTCAGGAATGGAAAAAAAACGTTTTTGACGACGCACATAAAGTCATTTGATTTAGTTTTCCATTTTCCGGTGCAGCAGTCTCCAAGAAACTTGCCCGTGAATTAAAATTTATATCCATATATATCTTTCAAGTCAAAAAAAGATTTATAAAATTTTAATGATGGAAAAAACGTTTTATATCCAAAACCCAATGGATGATGATAACACGTTTTTCCAGTAAGCCTAGCATCTTTGCTGGTGGCGCTTATAACCTTTTTCGACAAATGAATGTAATAAATATAACAATAAGGTTTCTTTGATTGTTTATCATAGGTCATTTTATAAAAATTGGAGAAATGCTTTTGAATAGTATCCAATATGAAGCTTGAGCAGTGAAGAGAACAAGCGCAGTTGAAAATTTGGGGAATAAAAAACCAAAATTGATATTAACAAAGCTCCTTCACTTACAACGTTTTCCACATTACCGTTTCTGGTAATTTTTTTTATACATCTTTCCCATTTCCTCCTGAATATTCTTCACCACTATTTACTAGCCTCTTATTATTCATATCATTCCAATTTTCGAAATGTACTTTACGTTTTTTACCATTATTGCACGTTTGCATAACGCTTGTTAATTCTAAATTGGCCATGGTCACCCGCACTTAAAATGTTTTTCCACTCACTACTTACTTTGGAGCGTAGGTTAATGTCCGAAAACTAATGGAAATTAGAAATTTCGCGACCTTATGAGAAGCGAGAGTATTTTTCACCATTCAAATATTGCGAAATTTCAAGGATAAAATTTTAAAATGATATTTTCAATATTTACCAGCCCTTCTGCACCAGAAACTTGAATCTGCTTAAATTCTACAGGATTTCCGCATTAATTTTATACCCATACTTCTCCTCCAAGCACATTTCTCTGAATTTTTTAAATAATTTTTAAATTACTGACGTCAGAGTGAAAAACTAAAAACGCAATTTTACTATATTTGGCCCATGGTTTCGCGAATATATGGATATTTGTGTTTAAAATTTACTATTGCGCGGTATATGTCTAATGAGCTAGACATTTATAAAAAAATATTAATTATTAAATAAAAAAAGAAATATAGCCAATACTGGTCAAGAAAAGGAGTTTCTATTATTGCCATCAGTGCAAATTACAAATCCCGAAAATCCGGGGATTACTTGCCAAGAATCCCGGGATTTTCGAGGCCTTAAAAAGTCCGGGATCCCGGGATCCCGGGATTAATATACCTAATTACTATAAATTTTTCACACCATTTACATATATATACTTAGATTAACTTGATTTTTATATTTTTTTTATTTTAAGAGTATTTTGTCGGAAAAGCGCAAACAGGCCACATTCACAGAAAGAAGCCAACTGAAGTATGCGCGGCGTCTAGTGGTGAAACTTGGTAGTGCAGTCATCACACGCGAAGACAACCATGGCTTAGCACTAGGACGGCTGGCATCCATTGTCGAACAGGTTAGTATAAATTTGTAGCGGACATATTTACATACATATATTTGTCTGCATTTATTTTTGTAGGTAAATATATGTATCACCTTTCAATTTCGAGGCCTTATTTGACATGTTTTCGGAAATGTAGAGTTTTAAATATTCCGCTAATTGGCACCCCGTGCAGCCGTGAACCGAAATTCAAACTTTATTTAACAATTAATTAAAACAATTAAAAAAAGTAAAACTTCGGGTGAATTTGAACTTTAAAAAACTCGGTACACTGAAATACTTGTTCTTCGCCTTTCTGTAATCTGCTTATAACACAGAAGCGTTTTCCCCTATTTCAAATATTTTCGATAATATGTTTAATCAAACTTAATGAAATATTCGTTCCTAGTTTGGAAGAAATCGGTAAATCATAAGTGGACGGGACCACGTCCATTTTCCAAAACTTCGCGCTAGCCTCATTTATTTCTAAAAATTATTATTTACTGAGTTAATTGTGGGAGGTGGGCATTGGTAGTGTCGGTCACGTGTCGTTACAAACAACCGTTATGCCTAAAACGTCAATTAAAGAGTAGAATATGAACAATCTTACACAAACGTATTATGAATTCATAAGCTTTTGACATGTCGTTGTAAGCGGATAACACTGGCCAACAATAGTTTTTGTGCATAGGAGCTATCATTTTTTTTTAACTTAGGACATTATACTGATTACATGTGCTTCTAGGGTTGTCAGATTTTTTTATGCGCGAAATCAGTACGTTAGACTTTATCATGCTAAAAAAATCAGTACTTTTCAGTACTTTTTTATTCAAAGCAAAATTATGAATGTAAGTAACAAATAATATTTTAAAACGCCAGAGTACGTGTTTTTAAATAAAATATAGTTCATAAAAATAAAAGTGTTATTCATTTTAACATGAGTGTACCCATAATTGTACACAGAAGCCAATAAATTATTTTATATTTATGACATTTTTGAATAGCAATAATAAGATCATTTCCATCTTCAGTGTTTAAATAGTCAAAGAATTCTATATATTTAATTAAAATTACTTTTAATTTGAAGCTCACTTTCAAAAATTGTAATTATAAGTCGGTTTCTCTCTTTGCGTTAGGAAGCAAAGATTATTCTTAAAAAAAAAAAAAAAAAAAATTACATATTTTTTCAAACTGTGGAAAAGTACCACGATTTAATGACTTCATCTATGTATAGTTCCTCATGACTTAAACTAATTTTTTCAACTACGCAAAAAGAGTATCTAACTCTATGCTAAACTCTTTTACAATGTCAGTAAATTGTGAAATTGTGAACTCTAAGTTATGGGCAAAAGCCAATCGAATATTCAAATTTGTTGTTATTAAACTGAAAGTTATTTTCGAGGTAACTAGCAACATACGACAAAAAACGTCAGCCTTCTTTTTAAATAATTTAAGCTCCATCAAATTATCGCAGCTGTTACGTAACGACCCGGCGATATGCCCATACAACCCAGCCAGCAAAATCATCGTAAACAAGCTCGTAATTGGATATTTTCTTGAAGAAAAACCGGATTAAAAATCGTTTATGATAGCCGTTTACGACTCATTTTCGAGCACTTTTTCGCTTTAAATTGTGCATCGCCTACGAACAGTCGTAAACGGATCGAAAAAGCATTCGTATGCGAATATTTTTACGTCCGTTTTTTAATTGTAAACGAGTCTCGTAAACGATTAATTTACGTTAAAAAAGCGTCTTTTAACACTGCTTTATCTACTGTTTTTGAATGCTAAAAATAGAGGCAATTAATTAATTCAAATTATTGTAGTTCTTTTATTGAATGGAATTATAATTAATAAATATTTATAGTGCAGGATCAAAGTATTGGCACAGAGAATTTTTCGCAATGTATGCAAAGTTTTTTACTTGAATTTCTTTTCGCAAATTTTGTTTTTTTAATATAGTTAGTATGAAGACCTACTTTCAAATCAGATTTTTGAGAAAAATTCTAAGTATGCAGTTTTATATCCCATTATATTTTAGTATAACATAGTGCAAGCTTGAAGTTGACAGAAAACCGCGTTGATTTTTGGCAATTTTTTCACGCAGTACCTTCCATGCAAATTATGTGCAACATTTTTTTTTGTATGGAAGAAACTGCGTATAAAAAATTGCCAAAAAACAAAGAGGTTTTCTATTTATTCAAGCGCGCACTTTATTATACTAAAATTAAATGCGCTATAAAACTGCATACTTAAAATTTTTCTAAAAAATCTGATTTGAAAGTAGAACTTCATACTAACTATATTTTTATAAAAAACAATTAGAGAAGAAATCAGAATAAAAAACTTTGCATTCATGGCGAAAAATTCTCTGTGCCAATATTTTTTCCCGGCACGGTATATGTGAAGATATTTTCAGATAAATAAATATTAAAAAACTATCTATTAACAAATTAACAATTAAATAAGAGGGGTTTAATATATATTATAAAGTAGCTGAATTTATTTTTTATCTTTTTTGCCGATAGGCTGCAAATTTTTTTTGCCGGTCGTGTGCATATTGGAAGTGCTTCTTTGCAACGGAAATAAAAATTTCTTCGTTGGAGTTAAATTTTTGACGAAAAGCACCTAAGAAAATAAAGTGAAAGATTAAACTCCATTGGAAATCGGAAAATTTAATTAATTAAAAAGTGGTAAAAAATATTAATATCCGTACTTCTTATTGCCGCAGTCGTTGCCAAACCAATAGCTCTGCTTTTGGTACCAGTTCCCTTCCACGAGAAAAGTTCTGCTACCTCATCTATAATAATTTTCCACCAGCACGTTCTTAAATATTTATCTACACTTAAAATATTTAAATCCTTTAGTGTTGCTCCGCGCAGCCTGTGAAAGAGTTGCAAAACTCGTTAAATTAATTTGTATTTTTGAATTACATATGTAGTAGCTACTTACAAGAAGTTTAATTATAAAAGAAAGTGGTAGATCGTCCTTTGCATTTGCACNATAAAAGAAAGTGGTAGATCGTCCTTTGCATTTGCACCAGTCTGCCAATAAATTACATACTTAATAATTTACTTAAATTGAATATTTAACAAACTACTTACTTATAAAATATTGTGATTGAAGAAAAATTGTCAACAAAACTAAAATTTTTTCTTGTGCTGACAAATTACTATAAGCCTCTTTCTATTATATTTTTTTTGTTTTACCGTTTACGAGCTTTTATCTAACTTTTTGGCGATACGAGAATCCCTCGTAAAACATAATGTTCGTAAAATGTACGTTTTCTTGCTGGCTGGGAATTAATGATATTTTTGTTGTATTAATTTATTGGGCATATCATACATTATCTGAAACATGTCAGCTATAATTAAATTAGTTTCTTTTTACTTTTTACAGTATAGTTTAAGGAAGTTCCAACGTTATGTAAAAACCTTAAGAAAACCCTGAAGTATTTGGTTTGAATTGAAAATTCAGTAAAATCAGTACAAATTTTGAAAAGTCAGGAAATTAGCGTACTGATTGAAGAAGTGAATAAAATCAGTACAAGAGTAGAAAAATCAGTACTGTACTGATAAAATCAGTACGTCTGGCAACCGTATGTGCTTCCAACATAAACTGACTCTTCGCTGGCTTTGGTGGCAAAGACCGTCGTGGTTATCTTCGCCTCGAAGTCATTGTCCAACCTTCGGCTACACCACCCCATCAAATGACTCACATTTTATAGCCAGACAACTGAAAACTGCTTCAGAGATAGTTTTTTGTGCTCAAGACAACCAACCTGCTTTGGACAAACTTATAACAAAATCATCGAGTCGGGGGGCGTATCAAGAATACTTCCTTGCCTTATTTGGAGGTACATCCATGCTAAGTACCCAGGTGTCGACACCACATTAAAAAAATAATAATCCTCATTAAGGGTCCGAATATTCCAGATGGCGTCATCAGAAAAAGGGGATCTTATTCAGGGTTGCCATACATAGGCTTTTCCTACCAAAACTGGTAGGTTTTTTCCATTTGGTAGGTTGGTAGGCTAGATTGAATTTTGGTAGGTTCTGCGACAATAAGAGTTATTTGCGAAAAATAAATAATATGTATCTCCAGATATTTTAGTAACCTTATTTACACGAATATTTCACCGGTACGTTCGTATAACGGCGACCGCAAACATGTAAATATACAAGTACAATGTATACCCCTATTATTACCAATATACAATATGAATATCCATATGTACTTTATGCGCCTACAAGTTATCGAATTTAATTTGAACTGAACTATGTACATAGTTGTGATAAACTGCATACGTATGCATATGTACTGAAGACTGGTGCGCTGAAAAGGGCTTGCCAATAAACCCACTGAAGTCCACCTTTGTCCCACTTATCAAAAGAAGAAAAGTCAGCTTGACTAGACCCACTTTGGCAGGGACAGAAATTGAGTTCTCAGAAGAGGAGAAGTATCTAGAGGTAACTCTGGACAAAGTCTCAATTGGAACTCATATCCCTTGAATGTTAACAACAAGGCTATAAGGGCGTTTTATATCTGTCAGAGACTTCATAGCAAGACATGGGGAATATCATTTAAACTAACGTTTTGGTCTTTGACCCGTTGTTGCATATGCGGCACTGGCCTGGTCGCCAAAAACTAAGCAGGTAAATGCGGGTGCCCTCTAAAAAAGCTGCACCGACTGGTCTGCGTAGCCATCTCAGGAGCTATGCGCACCTATCCAATGGATTCCCTTGGTGTCAGGGATAATTTAGAGGTTGACAAGCCATTCATGGGTGACCCCGAGTTATCCTTCTATAAACCCCACAAGGTCAGAATTTCTGAAAGGGACTGCGGTGAAGCGATAATAAATATGATTGACGAAGGATCCCAAGTATGGTATACCGACAGATCGAAGATAGACGACGGGAGTACTGGGGCAGGCGTACTTGGACCAAGATTCGACAAAAGTCTGCCAATGGGCACATACCCAACCATGTTCCAGGCGGAAGCCTTCGAAATTGAAGTCTGTGTTCACGAAAGTCTTT